TTGGCTGGCTGGGTGCAGCCCCCAGGCCTGATTTTGCCCACCCCTAGAGTTGCTGGGGGCTAGAATGCAAGTCGCAGAACTGGAATAATGCAGCTCGCTCTCAAATGCACCCCTGGGAACAGCACGCGGATGGGTGCTCTTTGGTTCACACGGCTGTTCAAACATCTCAACCCTGGGCAGGGAGGGGGGTCACTCACGCTTCAGTCCAAGACCTGACGTGAGACTGACCACAAGCAGGGCTGGAAGTACAGGAGGAGGATGGGTGACTGCCAGGTCCGCTAGTCCTGCGCTGGATGTGATTCCTTTGTAATGCCGCTGTTCGGAACACAGCGTGGCTGGCCACTGGTTACCCCCCCTCCGCCCTCAGAGCGGGATGGAAGGCGCTGCTCTGAGATCTGAGCTTCTCAGGGCGCTGCCCCGTCTGGAGGGAGGGAAGTGAGAGACTGTCCTGGGGCAGAGCTGGTGAGCCGAGACTTGCACAGGGTGCTCTGCAGCAGGCCAGGCGGTGATACTGGGGACTGTGACATGGGGACTGTCCAGTGTGCGTCCGGGTGTCTGTCTGCCCCTGCCAGAGGAACAGCTGCGGAGTTGGCCAAAGGCCCTTGCGTCTCTGGCTTCACGTTGCGGTGACAGCAGGGCCTGGTCTGCCAAGGCGCTTGTGATCCAGCACCTGTTGTGCCGGCCGACTAGCCCTTTGGCACGGGCCATAAGCAGCGCAGGGGGCTCTGGGTGAGGGGTTCTGAACCTACAGTGGTGCTGGTCTCTAGGCCTGAGCCCTAAAGCAGGGTGCCAAAAGGTGACCTTCCTGCTCCTGCCCAGCAGGGGGCGAGAGACGCTTCTCGGGCTGGTGGCAATGGGGGGAAGAGCTGGCTCAGTGGGCGCTCGCGGGTGCTCTGAGCAAAAGGCTAATCGCTAATGGGGCTGGTGCAGGAGAGCTCGGAGCAGCCAAACCAGCAGGAGCGTCCAGGTTCCAAGCAGAGAAAGCGTTTGGAGCCATGCTGGCTGCAGCGGAGGGGCCGAGGGGCGGACGAACTGCCAGCAGGTTTGCTTCGTGAAAAGCAACGGCCAGGCACAGCTGACGAGGCGGGCAGAACTTGGGGCGAGGGAGGAGAACTTGCTAGTTACGGCCAGTCCCTAGAACGTGGGTGATGATTTTGTGTGATTCGTAACCACTCGTCTCTGCTTCCCCAGCCTCGCTTCTCTGTGGCCTTGCGTGCTGGAAACTTGCTGTGCTCTGTGGGTCGCCGCCTCTGCCATGCTGCCTGGTTGGCACCAGCAGACTGGAGTGGGCAGGAAGCTGGCCCTGAGCCTAGTGGAAGTCCAGTCTGGTGGGAGCTGACTGTGAAGGGAGGGGGTGACAGCCTGGGCAGGAGGGGTACTGAGGGGGCAGGCTGGGGAGGTAGTGGGAGAACTGTGCACCAAGGCCTCTCTGCCTCCTGTCTGGGGGCAGGTGCCCCACCGTGGTGCCTGGGCCCACAGCAGCTGGCAGTGGAGCTGTTACTGTCTGCTCCTAGGCAACTTGCCCATCCCCTGTGCTGGGTGGCTGCTCCAGCCCTTCCTCGAGGTCCTGCAGCACTTTCAGGCATGTGCCTGGGGGGTGGAAGCCAAGCCGGGCCCATCTCACCTTTGTGATGCTGGGGCCGTGCATTCCAGTGCCCCTCCCAACTCCAGTCCCTCTTGGGCTGAGCGTGGGCAGACCCACCAGCCACTGCTGCTCTCGTCACACCAGCGCGCCCCTGGCCTGTTTACCCAGCGCCGAGCGAGGCTCTGTGTGATTGGGCCCAGCTGTCTCAGCCACAATCTGCACTAGCACTAGCAAAACACTTGGGCTAAGTCTACACTGGCGCAATCTTGTGCCAAAGATATGCAAATGAGCATAAGCATGGAATATCGCTGAGCCTCATTTGCATATCTAATGAGCCACCATTTTTGCGGACGAGGCTATCGCGCCAGAAGGAGTGTCTACACTGCCCCTTCTTGCGCAAGAAAACCCCTCTTGTGCAATGCTGCTACGCTGATTATTTTCGGGAATAACCGCATTGCACAAGAGGGGTTTTCTTGCACAAGAAGGGGCAGTGTAGACAGCTCCTTCTGGCGCGATAGCCTCGTCCGCAAAAATGGTGGCTCATTAGATATGCAAATGAGGCTCAGCGATATTCCATGCTTATGCTCATTTGCATATCTTTGGCACAAGATTGCGCCAGTGTAGACTTAGCCCAAGTGTTTTGCTAGTGCTAGTGCAGATTGTGGCTGAGACAGCTGGGCCCAATCACACAGAGCCTCGCTCGGCGCTGGGTAAACAGGCCAGGGGCGTGTCCTGCCTCTCTCGTCACGTTGCACCGCAGCCCCGTGCACTTATATACAGGAAACAGGATACGGTGCGGGGCAGCTGCTGCTTTGAAGTGAGCGTCCTCTCTTGGAGTCCATGGGGTGCGCGGCATCTCACACAGTGTCCCTTTGCCTGTGATTCCAGTACAGCCTGGGTGTGGCATGGAGCCCACAGGCGCCTGCCTCCCTCCGCCGCCACCGAGGACTCTGATGATTGGCAGCTTTTCTCTCCACTTGACGGGACTCGTCGTGTCTTTTACTAGGACCTGCTCTACGACCCGGCCGCTGTGCTTGGCAGCCAGTCTCTGGGTTCCCTTCCCAGGGGGAGGATTGCCTCAGGGAGCCCATGCTCCCATGCTTTGCAGGCAGGTGCTGGAGCCTCGTAGGACATCAGCTGATGGCCCTGGCATGGCGCTAGGCCTGGGGACCTGCACTGCGCTCGGAGGGACTGGGTGGAGCCCATGGCATTCAGCCAGCCCCCAGGCTGCCTGTCCCTGGGGGTGTGGGCCTAGAGGTGCGGACAGCTTGGACCTCTGCTGCTCTTGCTTCTCCCAAGAGGGGTGTGGGAGAGTGCTGCTCCGCCCGGCCCATTAGAGCTGGGCCCCGGCCCCTGCCGTGACAGCTCTCCCAGCTGTCCTGACCCAGCCATCCAGCTAGGCCACCTCTGAAGTACCCCTGAGAACATCTGCACACGCTTGAGCTTCCTGCCATCCCCTCCCTGGCCTTGTGTCCTGCCCCCACCTGATCGGGCCAGGAGTCCCAGAGTGCCGGTCTGCGCACCTCAGCGGCTCCGTGCCCACCAGGGACCACGGGGCCACGCGCGGCCCGATTCCTGCCCCCTCCTGCCCCAAGGGAGCCTGGCTCCCTTCTCCCTAGGCTGCTTTCCCCATCCCCTGCAAGTCCCAAGGCCTCCTTGTCAACCTCCTGGCACAGGCCAGGCCCATGGAGCAAGGCCCAGCGGAAGGCAGCAGGATGGGGGTGCCCGATGCCCTCACCCAATCACAGCCAAAAGCAGAGTTGCGTTGACTCAGACACTTGTGGGGCGCACTGGGCACCGTCCAGCGTTCTCTGCTGCTCGTCCCTGGCTGGAGCCCTGCTTTGTCCTTGGCTGCCTCCAGAATTCAGTGGTGCCTCCCATTGGCTGCGGAGGCTGTAGGCCCACCCATCCCAACACCTGCAGTAGGTGCACCCCTGCACTCACAAGGGTTTTCTCAACAGGAGTCCATTCGACAGCAACACAAACCCAGGCTGGGTGCTGCATCTCTTCCATGGCCTTGATTCCACTACCCTGCGCGATTGGTGTGACCCGACATGGCATTAATTGTGCTACATTAATACACTGAGCCACACGCCCCTCCCACTCTGCTGTAGGTAACTACGATCTGTGGGGAACTAACACGCAGGCTAAGGGACATGCTCAAGGTCACATAGCACAGCGGTAGCAGAGCCACAGATACAACCCAGGACTCCTGGCCCCCTGCTTTGGCTGCCAGACAACACTCCCTCTTGTGACCAGCAGGGGAGAAGTGGGGCTCCATAGGCAGAGGCTTTTAGGAAAAGATAGACCAGAATTTCTTATGCATTGTAAACAAGAGAAAAGGTAGAGCAATATCCTGCTCTTTGCAGGTGAGGGAACCGTGGCGCTTTCTCGCCCATCGTAAAGAAACCGACCGGGGAGAAACCGGAGTTTGCTTTTCTTTTGCAAGTTACCTTTAAATGTCACTGTAAATAGTGGCAGGGGCTGAGGGACCTGAGTCTGTCATTGTCTTGGTTTTGAGAACTTCACCCTCAAGCGCTTCCCTGGTACAACGTGTCACAGGAGCTGGAGCCCATGCCCCTCCCAGAGCCTGGCTGTGAGCCGCTAGCCTACGGACACCTGGCAGGGAATGGACGTGGTGCACGCAACTGACCATAGAAAATGTGAAAGGTTTGTGGCAGGAGCTGTCCAGAAATGGGAGATTAACCTGCCGTAACAGACACTGGCACCAGACAGAGACAGATCAACTTGTCTATTTCAAATTACAGCATTGGCCCCTGGCCCGCCCGCGGCCCCCCACCGGACCGGAGGTGTTCACCCACAGCCAGTTCCTGCTGCACCTGGTGCTCTTGCTGGATTTCCCTGTGCGTGGGAAGGGATGTCTTTACAAGCCGGGTTGCTGTCCCGTCTATGTCCCCTGATGCACAGTAGGGTGCTCTTGTGACCTAGGAGTCACATCGTTTCCCTCTCCTCTCAGGGCCATCCTTAAGCACACAGCATGCGCGGCTGCATAGAGCACCCAAACACTTGGGGTGCCGCTCGCTGGGCCAGACAGCAGACGAGGGTCGTGGGGCCGTACGGAGCCAAACACAGTGTGTCCGCAGCGGCGCATTCTGCATGAGGAGGGAGAGGAGACAGTGCCTGTACCTCCGGGACTCCGCTCTCTGCCACTGTAAGGTTGGCTGGGCAGCTCACCTTGGTATCCTTTGCCTCGTCCGTCCTCCCGCCCAGGGCTGGCCAAGCTGGGCCCCCAAGCCCAGGCCATAGTACGTGGGGGGCTGCTGCAAGAGGCTCAGGCTTCGGCCTGCCCTCGCTAGCCAGGTAATGGTGACGGGAGCTGACTGTTTATGGGCTCTGTCCCGTGTAAGGAGATGTGGGCAGGCCACGCTCCTGGTGCCCACGGCCCCAAAGTGCTTTACTCCAGCCCTGGCTCTGTGATGGATTTACTGTGGTTTAAGGCCCCCTGGTTCCTCAGAACAACTCTCTTCAGCTTGCCGTGGATGGTGCCGTGCACGGCTCTCCTGAAGCTGCTGGAGAAGAAGAAGAAAATCACGGGGTCCAGGCAGCTGTTCAGGGCCGAGATACAGAGGACAAGCTCATTGGCGAGGTGGAGAGCCTGCTTCCACTGCGTGCTGGAGATGACGTCCAGCTGGGCCAGGACGTACGGCACACGCACAGCGTGGTAGGGGGCAAAGCACACGCTGAAGATGGCCAGGACCACAACGGTTCTTGTGATGGCCCTACTCCCTGGCCTTCTGCCCTGCTGCTGGGCTTTCCCTGAAGACACTTTCTGCAGCTTGGCCGAGATCTTGCCATAGAAATAGAGGAAGAGCAGCAGGTGAATGAAGAAGGTGGCCACAGCGACCAAGTTGAGAGCTGCCCCCAGTGGGCGTTTGCTCCTGAAGTGGAAGCACTTGTCGGCACAGGCCCCTGCTCCCCTAGTCTCGAAAAAGAAAGGCAGCGTGAAAACAGCATAGGCCAGCCAAACCACCCTGGCAGCGAGGGTGCTGCAAGGCACCGTGTGGATCTTAAACTGCCGGAGAGGCCGAATGATCTTCAGGTAGCGGTCCAGGCTGATCAGGCTGAGGAACATGATGCTGACGTACATGTTGAGGTAGAAGAAAGCCCCGACAATGGTGCAGAGGATCAAAGGGCCACTCTGGTTTTGATAGGCCACCCGGAAGGGCAGGCAGAGGGAGAGCAGGAGGTCCGACAGAGCCAGGTTCCTCATGTACACCGTGATGGAGGTGCTCCTCTGCGTGTGGCACCAGAACACCCAGAGGGCCAGCATGTTGCTGAGCAGCCCGCTGATGAAGATGAGGGAGTACATCACGGGGAGGGTCACTGCCAGGAAGCCATCTTGGATCTCACAGTGGGAGCTGTTTGACTGAGAGGCCGTGAACGCCGCGCTGGTGGGAAAAGACATGCCCATCGTCGCGCTGCAAGGGCCTGGGGAGACAAGGGACGTGGGGTTGTTTGGATTAGGGGTGTTAGAATGTGTGTGACTCGGACACTGCCCGAGGACACGGGAGCCCAGTGCTGGGACGAGGAGGCAGCAGGTGCACAGAGTGGTTAGCAGAGAGTATCATTAGCCCTCCCCAGGGAAGCTGACAGGGCAAGGGCGGAGGGACAGGCCGCTTTGTGCTCCCAGAAGGGCCGAGGCCTTGGGGGGCAGGGCGGGGCAGCCAGCCAGCCCATGGTGAACCCCTCAGCCCTCAGAGTGCACATGCCTACGCCAGCAGCAAAGTGCCACCTCGCTCAGGCAGACAGCGAGTGAGCAGACAGAAGGGTTGTGTTCCCCATTTTACCCCAGGGAAGGCCAAGCCAGCCCCTGCAGCTGCACCCTGAACATGGAGCCTTTTCCCTAGAACATGCTGCCTGGACTGGCTCTCGCCTGCCACCTGCTCCATAATCTTGCCATCGCATTCGCCTCCCTGTGTCTTTCTGTTGTCTTAGCTCAGCTCTCAGCTCCAGCTGAAACCCCACTTTCCTCTCTGGCCTTTGCTTCCTGTGCGTTTGCTGTGGCCCTTGGTGTGTTGCAGGAAGTCCAGCGGAGTCACGCTGCCGCATCTGTGCAGCAGTGTAACTCGGAGCCACTGACGGGAGCTACAAAAGGGACAATGCACAGCACTGATCTCACTGCATCAACGTGCACCAAGGCCACTGCACTGGCTGGGCTCATGCTGGGGGACCGTTCCTCAGGGCTGCCAGCTGTAGCATGCCAGAGTTTTCAGAGAGTTTAGGGGTTTGGAACGGGTCCCATGTGAAGAGAGATTAAAAAGCCTGGGAGTTTTCATCTTAGAAAAGTGGAGACTAAGGAGGATATGATAGAGGTCTATCAAATTAGGACTGATGTGGAAAAAGTGAATAAGGAAAAGTTATTTACTTATTCCCACAGTATAAGAACTAGGGGTCACCAAATTAAATTAATGGGCAGCAGGTTTAAAACAAACAAAAGGAAAATTTTCTTCATGCAGCACCCAGTCAACCTGTGGAACTCCTTGCCAGGGGATGTTGTGAAAACTAGGACTTCAACAGGGTTCAGATAAGAATCCGATACATTCATGGAGGTTAGATCCATCAATGGCTATTATCCAGGATGGGTAGGAATGGTGGGTGTCCCTAGCCTGTTTGTCAGAGGCTGGAAATGGATGACAGGGGAGGGATCAGGTGACGATTGCCTGTTCTGTTCTCTCCCTCTGGGGTATCTGGCATTAGCCACTGGGCTAGCTGGACCATGGACCCAGTGGAGGGTCCCTCTGACCTAGTATGGCTGTTCCCATGTTCTTATGTTATGTTCCCTGCTCTCAGATGCTGTTCAGACCTGAACCTGTGAGCCCTTGAGAGGGGAAATAAAACTCCTCTTGTTGGCTAGGGGATGCAGTGCACACGGCTCACCCCTGCTGTGAAAGGGAGCATGTGTGAAAAGGAGTGCATTCAGGGGAGTGTGCATGTTGTGTACCTGTACGTGCTCTTATAGCATTGTTGGGTGTTCAGTCTGGTGTAACTGTACAGGCACTGGAGACGTGAGCATGCTCGGGAGCCTGTCTGCATGCACGTGTATGGAGGGCAGCCTGTGAACCCTGAGATGCCCTGCCGGTGACCTGCACCCCATGGAGTCTGAGATTTAATTTAAAAGAACATTTCTGGCCCTTAGGGTTACGAGGAAAAGCTTCAGAACAGGAGCCTGCTGTGGCCAATATGTGAGGTCTCCCTGAGCCAGCAGTCAGACAGCTGCCCCGCCAGCGCCAATGGGCTGTTGACACAGAAACCGCCTGGCCGCAGCTTGGCAGGAGCTTTCCAGGAACGGGCTTGGCTGTGACTGCCGGGGAGAGCAGCAAATGCCGGGGCTTGTGGAAGTGGGGAACTCGAGTCCAACCCCTTCCTGTCAAGCGCCACGTCACCTCCCACTGCAGTGACAAGGGCGGGGGAGAGGGGAATATGCATCTTCTTCTAGACGTCCAATATTGGGGAAGGTGCGCGCACGCACACACACACACACACACACACACACACACACACACCCCTCTCTCTCTCTCCTCCACCCTCCAAAGCGCTAAAACCTCCAACCCTCTCCCTGCACAAATAGTGCCAGGGACACGGGCCTGTCTGAATTCCCCGCTGCCATGTTTAAGTAGTTTAAAAGCTCAGGCTCTTAGATCACTTGAGTTAGTCGCGGAGTTTCTACCATGCTGCACAGAGCTGCTGTGAGCCTGGGCCAGTGTGTCGCAGAGGAGGGGCCTTTGTGCAAATCCCTAGGAACATGCGATGTGCAGGAACAAGCAGTTGCACATGTGCAAAATGGGAACTGAGAGTCTAGCGCTGGGGGAAGGGATCCAGCAGTCACAGTGGACCACAAGCTAGATATGAGTCAACAGTCAAAAAGACCAAACATCGCTCTGGGATGCGTTGGCCAGGAGTGTTGTGAGCCAGACACGAGGAGTCATTCTTCCGCTCTACTCTATGCTAATTAGGCCTCAGCGGGAGTATTGTGTCCAGGTCTGGGCACCGCATTTCAGGGAAGATGTGGAGAAATTGGAGAAAGCCCAGAGAAGAACAAAAACGATTGAAGGTCTAGAAAGCAGGAGCTATGAGGGAAGGTTGAAAAAAGTGGGTTTGTTTAGGCTGGAGAAGGGCTGGGAAGGAACGAGAGCAGTTTTCAAGTACGTAAAGGCTGTTGCAAGAAGGAGGGAGGTAAATTATTCTTCTTAACCTCTGATGCTAGGACAATGCAAGGGGCTTAAGCTGCAGCAGGGGAGGTTTGGGTTGGACATTAGGAAAAACGTCCTGCTGCCAGGGGGGTCAGACACTGGACTAAGTTTCCTGGGGGGTTGTGGAATCTCCGCCCCGGAGAGATTCAAGAGCAGGTGGGAGACACACCTGTCAGGGATGCTCTAGATCAGGATGGGACACTGAGGGCCACAGCAGGTAGGGAAATTGTATGGCGGGTTGGGTGGGAGAGGCTGTGCCTCCCCAAACAGCCAGGCCTGGCCCGCCCCGACTGGAGCTCTGAGGCTGCCTGGGAGGGGAGCTAGCCTCTCCTGCTCACCGTGTTGCCCAGGAGTTGGGGAGCCCAGGGGCAGGACTGAAGGGCCCAATGGGCTCTGGCTGTGGCCCATGGGCTGCAGTTTGCCCCCTTCTTGTCCAGATAATACTTGGTCCGGCCGTGAGGGCGGGGCCTGGACTCGATTTTCGGGCCCTAGCCCTCTCTGTGCGGTGGATGTGAGCGTGCCTGTGCCTGTGCGGCTGGGAGCATCTGTGTGCCACCAGCTGCACGGTGTCCGGAGGGGCTCTCTGCGTGTCGCTGTGAGAGCGTACCAAGTACGCCAGGACCGTGCTGTGAGCGTCAATGCACACGGTGAGACAAGCATCTGGCCCCAGCTCTTTCTATTTCTCCTTTTTTTCATTTTTCTCCTGACCTACCTGAGAAAATTCTGTTTCAATGAATTATAGAGGGAAAGGTCATCTGTACCCACTAACCCGCCTCTGAGAAGCCAGCCGTGCCTGAAACCCTAAAATGACTCAGCTCACCCCAAGAGTCACCATGAAGACAGAAAAGGACAGGACAGAGTCACCTACCTCAGCAGCTCCTCTCAGGTCCCCTGCTCGCTGCGACTGGGGGTTTCTGCTCTGAGCTCATGCCCTTTAAACCCTGGTAGGGGTAGAATTTCCTGACAGTGACGCCTGCTTTGGTCGCCGGCCCTCCGCTCTCTACCTGGTTTGGTTGCTGCTTACTGGGGTTTTAGCAATGGGATGTGGCTTGAGAGACCCAAAACGTAATTGGCAGCTTGACAGTCTCCAAACGAACGGGGTGGGAGGGCTGCTGAGCACACAGATCAGAATTGAAACCAGTTTTTTTAGAGAGAAACTGACAAAACAAGTGCACGGAGCTGGCTGGGGTATCGCTGACTGGCTCCTGTGCTGCAGACTAGTGCTCAGGAACGACGGCCCCGCTCGCCACCACTCCCCTGATTCACGCCGACTCCAGCGTCGCTGGGGCTGCTAACCGCACACTGGCATGCAGGGCCCTCGCTGGTACACTGCTCGCCAAGGAAGGGAGAGGTGCCTCGCGCTTCACAAGAGGGGCCCTTTTTTCTGCTGGTGCCGCTGTGGGGCAGCCTGCTCTAGCACCCTATGGACATCTTGTCACAGCCTGGTCCAGTCCCGCTCCCAGAATGGGCACCAACCTTGCGAGGGGAGCCGCCTGCTGATTCCCCCTCCCACCCCGACCCGGCTCTATGCAGTGACTGCTCATTATTCTGAGATCTGCCTCTCCCACCCCCCCTCTCCCCCAGATTTCCCCATCTCCCCACTCCTGCTAGGGTACGTCTACACCTCAGGGCTAAAGTCAAATTAAGCTACACAACTCCAGCTATGGCAACGGCACGGCTGAAGCTGAAATAGCTTAACTCGGCTTGTGGGGCTGTCTGCACAGCAGGAAGTGGAAGGAAGAGCGCTCCCTCTCCGACTTCCCTTCGCCTCGTGAAATGAATGTTATAGGCGGCGGAGGAAGAAGTCCTCCAGCTCGCTGTTATTTCCAAATAAAGGCTGGCAGTGTAGGCGTGCACTGTGCTATTTCAGATCAACGCCCGACATTATTCAGTTGAGACTCTGAACTGGAACTGAGATGAATTCCCACTTGGAAACAGAGACAGCATCTAAGAACACACGTGGTCCTGAAAAAGCAAGACAGCTTTGAAAAGAATGAATCCGGACCAGCTGCCGCACACAGCTGGCTTATGACAATGGCTGCACAGTCGTGTCAGTGATGTTGGCCAAGCTGATCATTTCAAATGATGATTTGTAAGGAGGCTCGAACGAACGCTCTGCGGGCAGCTGGCAATGAGCCACTGAAAGACTTCCGGACCGAATGGTAGTCACGTGAACCGCCTGCCCAGCCGGGGTCTCCCGCAGACAGAGCGGTGTCGCCCGTTTGGGCTGGCGGCAGCTCACAGATCACTTTCCAAGGGGTGGTGAAATGTTGCTCTGACTGTGAGCAGAGGGCAGAAGGGACGTG